TATGGAATGATTTGCAATAAGTAGGTAAAACAGAAATAGTAAAAATATAAACAAGTCAACTAATGCTTTCCATCCAATTTTGTGAGCTCTAGCATTTTCCTCTTGATTAACCATCAAGTAGAAAATGCAATCCAAAAGATGAGATTTCTTTTTAATAATTGATGAAGTTATGATGCTCGAGAATAAAGCGTTAAATGTAGCATTTATCTCATTTATCATCTCAAGTTTTCCGCAGATAGATTTCGAACGATAACCAGATTAATATAAGCAAATATGTATCACGGGAACCTCGTACACCCGGTAAGTTCTCGCTCTTCATTCAGGAAACTCCTTATTTTTTCAAATTTTTTTGTGGAAAAAAAAACACATCTTTTCATACACAATATGCTACATTAAGAATAAAAAAAAGAATCAACAAAGTCATGTTTCCGCTGTATCTTTCCATGCATTGGCGAACTGTTTGGTAATGAAACCATGACAATCAGGTCAAGTTTTGTATGAGCATGTTAAATACCAGCCACAACGAACTCATTTCTTTCAATACAAATGTAGGCACAATTCGTTGACTATAACCATTGAAAATATTCCAAAAATACAGTGAACACTACTCTTCCTATTTCATGTTATATTACCTTTCAGGTATTTTCGATATCACTTTTCACAGATATATGAAATTTCAGATAGTTGAAGAAGTTCTAGCAAATGCTGTTTCAGTGGTTAATCAATCTGCAGTATACGAATCGGTTTGCTCCTTTGGAATCTTTTGAATTCATAGAATTATTTACATATTTATTCACTGAGCTAATATGACCTTCACTGAGCAGAAGAAAAATGACTGATAACATCCATATTAGGTAGAAAAGAAAAGACCTGATAAAACAGAATATTTCTATAATTTACTCTCATCCCATTCAACTGTAAGCAATAGAAAATAATACAACTGGAACTAATAATCAATGAAGCTAATAAAATTAACTTAAAATTTTGCTTTTCGAATAGTTTGGATAACATCTGCATCACCACGTTACACATGTTTGGTTGGTCTAAATGATATTTTTTTGCATCTAACAATATGGTAGTTTGAAATTTCCAAAAAATGTATGACTACATGAGAACTTATAATAAAAATCAAATAAATGCGGTAACGAAGGTCAACAATCAGATTAAAAAAGAAAGTGACACGAAGAGATCGGTTTTACAGGAGAATGAAAAGGAAATCGATAATGCCAACGGAGAAGAGGAAGTGATTACATCATTTAACGACCTACAACAAGCACGGTGTCACTGGATACAACTTGCTAAACTTGACTTACAAGTAATGATAACGGAATAATTGTCATAATCAGTTTTTGCCTAAGAAAATTTCCGTTTTCACTTTTTGGTTAGGCCATTTGTCTAACTACTAGTGTAACTATAACTGGTAGATTTCCAAGAACAACATGGTCAACATAATTGGGCTGTTCCAAATCTGCTTAGCTTAATCTGATCGCAGATAAGATCTACTAGCAATTCAAAATTTTAAAATCCCCTCCTTTACAGCTTAAAGTAATTCAGTTAACAATTGCTTATGTGGTCGAAAAATTCGAACCGATGAGACAACTTTGGACTTTTGGGAAAAATTACCAAAAAGAAAAGCTGTACAATGACCAGAGATTCCAGTTAGTCTTGCTAGTTATTATATAGAAATTCTAAGTGGATGAAAATTAACTTAAATATCCTGTCTTGCTTCGTTCATTGGTTGACAAAAAAAAAGAAAAAATGGTTGACAAGAACCAAATTTCAGCGATTACTGCAACTGTTTCCAAACTGCACTGAAAATGATCATGGAATCTGTGGATGAGCCACGTGATATGTGCAAATTAATTCGTAACATTGGAGCTCGACATTTCTTCTACAACGTCTACGAACCACATACTGAGGAAATGACCAAATTGCTAATCAGATCAGATTCTCAGTAATCAGGAAATGTACTAAGGGGTAATAGGTCGAATGGAAAGATGTATCCTCATTTCCAAAAAAGATATGAAAAGCGGAGAAGACAATCATGAACCCTCATGAACCTTAACTGTAGGATCAGAAAGATAGGATTGCCGTCTCACATTATTTGATTTGAATACTGAGCTATCGAAGGGCTTCACTAGTAGTGTGGTGCTTAGGTGATGCAGAAACTGATACAACCAAAACATTGCTATCAGAGGAATGATTCTCCTCTTCCTAGAATTCTCACCCCATTTAAAAAGACTTGAGCAGTAAAGAAATGTGATTAGCACTTCTCTGTGGATTTAATTTCCAGTTTATCCTGCAAACTTACGAGTTTTGAACAACCCCATTACAGATGATATGTAAGTCGATGATGACGGCTTTATGTGAAGTAGCCAAAGATGACATGAATGAGAAACAAGTGCAATGCTGGCAATCGGCAAGTTACAATGTTTAAAAATTAATTTCTCTCAAGCTTACTCGAAAATAGTTTATCTGCAATGATAAACTATCTTCTGTTTGAAAGTTTTTGACTCTACCCTCCTATAGAGCATAAATATATCAATCCTTTATCTATTTTAAAGTTTTTGAAAATATCAAAAAAAGAAACAAACGTCTCAGCTGTCGTTGGAATCATAATTCTGGAATTATGATCTTCAGTGATTGCTAGGGAAGTAACTTACTTAGCTTTCTCAGCTGTTTGTTCCTCCCGATAGAAAAAAAAAATTGCACTAAATGATTTTAATAATGTGCAGAAAACTGTTTCATTTTTAGCTCTTCGAGGAAATTCAAACAGCTTTTAACGACGGAATTGCTACTCAACGACAAAATTATCTTCGGAAATGTATATCAGGAGAAGAAATGCAAACTTTAACAACTACCTGGCAACAAGTCCAAACGAAATGTATGGAAAAGGATGGAAATCTAACAAAGTGTAATGACCTGGTCAGCAGTGGTATCTAAATACAATTAGGTTCCAACTGTCCTAACTATAAGTCGAAATCACGAATGTGAACAAAAGGGCATAATTTAAATATTTCGAAGTCGCGAAGCTTCTCTCCATATTCCATTCTATTTACTGCGACAAGAAACAAAGCTTCAGAAGAAATCTAAAAATTGATAGAGTGTAGTTACAGATGTACGAGGCACTCCAATATTACTGCAAGAAGACACCTAAAACAAAGAAGTACATAAGAAAAATGAAAGAAATTGCCGACCAAACCGTTGATGTATGCTTAAGCAATAACAAGATGGAGCGAGCTTCCAGCAACTTATATCTCAGCATTATTTAGTAACCGATAAACAGCAAGTAATTTTATGGAATAGGACTATCAGATCCTAGAACTCGGGAATATTTCTTTAAGATAATGAAAACCATTCATTTATTATAACGACCTATTAGTATATGTAGGCAGTGGACAAAATAATAGATGCATACGACAGCACCAATGGATTAGCAGAGCTAATTGACAGGTTCGACTCTTACTATTATCTATGTTGTACTCTAGGTGAAAGTCCACGAACTCTCTGGCTGGCTTTTAATAAAGGTAAGCCATTGCAGATTTCAAAATTTTTTTTCTCAAAATTTAAACTTCGCTTCATTCATTTTAAACTTGAAAACCCGAGATAACAAGTTTTCGTTTTAATATGATGAGATGTTCAGCAGAAAACATACAATTATTCCTATAAAGATATATCATTATTTCCATATGACGCATTTTATTTTCTGAATCATCCCGCCAAAAGCTTCCAATACTATTTCTTTTGAAAAAATTATATTTGTTGCATTATTACTTATGAGGTTGATGAAGAAATCTTCTCCGTCAAACACTTAATCCCATCCTTCACAAATGATGAAATGTTCAACAAGATTTGATAATATCAAATAATCTTAAAAATTCCATTTTATCAACCAAAAATTAGATTTTAAAGCATAGTTTCAAAAATTTTAAAAACTCTATGACTTTTACGATTAGCCAGACCATAAACTGAATGTATTTCAGGTTTCGCGAATATCATCACCACCAAACTAGATGAAGACATAATTCGGATAAAACAAATATGGTGCAAAGTTGCTCGCATCTTAGAACAGGTATAGTTTTTAAACAGCCGATTAGAAAAATGATCTTTTTCTGCTTGGTTAATTAATTACGGTTAATTTCGTCTGTTCTGATTAGGCTCTTAGTTCGCAAGACAAACATTCTAGTTTAACTGAAGGTAATTTTCAACGAAATGATTAATTCCAATAAATTTCATTCTTGTTTAATCCTAGTTAAAAACAACTATTAATCAAATTTTAAAGAGAAGAGCTCATGACAGAAAAGAAATAAATGAAAATTAAGCTAGTGATTCTAACGATTTTGAGATCATCAAAGAGTTTATTGTATCGAATTTGTGCAAGCAGCGGCAACTGGAATGGAATGAAATTTGAAACTTTCATTCGGCAAACTTCATGTTTTTCATAAATATCAATCACTGTTTACAAAGACCGAATGGAAAATGGATATTCGTGAACCGCTATGTTATATTAAATGCAAAAAGAGAAATATGAAATATTTGGGATATGTTGAATAAACTATGTTTAAATATAAACTGTACTCAAGCATTATGTTCCCTTGAGGCACCTAAGTGATTTCTGCAAATATCACATTACTACAGCTTCTATTAAACAGTTTTCATGTCAAAAAAGCTTGGTGCTTACTATGACATAGTAACCTTATATTATGTACAGTGATTTTAAGTAACCCAAAGATAATGAAATTAGCACTTTTTTCTATTTCACGGCATATATCCCTATCCACACCTTCCTTTTATCCGAAGGTATATGAATAAACTAAGAACGACACCATTGTACGAAAGTGAAATAATAAAGTAAGCAGTGAATGATGAAATTAATACCGTGGTACCATTTAATGGTACGCATTCGTTACACCTTCGTATCAACAATTGGTACTGCGGTATTAATTTCGTTACCACCAACCCACATAACTTCCAGGATTGTGAATAGAATTTGAACTTACTTTGAGCTCTTTTTCTTGATTTAGCAAATTGGCGCTATTTATGGTAGCCATTGAACCAAGTTTCGCGTTCAGCTGCTGATTCTGCAAAAAAAAAAAATGTTTTCCTTCTTAATTAGAAGTGAGAATTTAGAAAAGAGTAGGAAATGACATAAAAACCCCAATATATACAATTAAAGGCAGTTTATATGAAGTAAACCGATACCACATCATCGGTAATTTTTGCTTGTTTAGATTTTTGAAAACTGACTGCAAAAGAACAAAACTTTAACAACTTTCTTCCAAGAATTTAAAAGAAAATTTAAAAAACTGATCCTTTCTTTAATGTCGCCTAACATACATGGTAAAAACATTCGTTTAGTATGTCATCTTTCACGAATGAAAAAAGAAGGAAATAAAATTCCGATAATATTTGCAACATTTAGCGAAATGTAATCAAAAGTAATCTCACGCATCGATGAGCGTTTCCAATTTCTTCTTCAAGTTGCCGAAGTTGCACATCTTTCATTGCCAGTTGCTCACGATGCAGCCTCAAATTTGCTTCCAGTGATGTGATCTGAATTGACATATATATATCGATGATAAAATCTTTTGCACCAAAAAGAGCTTCAACTGGGAATTTCTTTCGAAGTCAAGCAACAAACCAAAAACAGCATAAACTATGTATTGCCTGTATGGCTGAATGTATTAAAATATAAAAAACAAATAAAGGAAGTTTTCTTAACATATTCGCATACTCGGAAAAGAATCTCGAATTCAATTTTAGTGCCGAAATAAACTGATTCAAAATTTAGATGTCCCTCTCCATTTCATATTTAAGATTTGTTTCAGATATAGAAATCATTTTCTTGTAAAGAAAATTCTTACCTGACGTTGATGATTCTCACAGCTTCCATCAATTATATTCCCATTTGGATTATTTTTCATCATTATTTCATGTTCGACGTTGTTTCTTGACTGCAGGATACGATTCTGTTAAAAAGACCTACATTAAAATGCGTGAATGAAGATGGAAATTACGAAGTGACTGAGACAAGTTAAAATTAAAAGAAGCAAAAAGACTGGGAATAAAATTTCTGGAAAACTTGAAGATTTTTCATTCACACATATCGCAACCTAGAAGTATGCAGTAGCAGAAAATAAATCGCCAAGAAATGCGACCTCGATATCTCATTTTGTAAAATGTTTTTTAAAAAACTAGAATTTAAACATAAAACAAAGGAAATATACATATATATA